TCGATATAAAATGTACGCTCCAATAATTTATAAATAAGTTCTCCTTAAAATAATTCAGACTAATCAATTTAAATATAACTTTTATTCGATACCAAAATTTAACGATCCTTGATTCATTATAGTAATGTAATTCGATAGTCAATTAATATTAATAAGGTCGAAAGCACAGATAATTTTATAGTATTTCATTATTTTTTATGTCTGTTATTATTTCACATAATTTAGTATATTTAAACATTTGGACGACTATATACATATATACAGCCTTAAAATTTTTTAGAAAAAAATCAAATGCGCAAAATAGTTTCTGCTTATTTAAAAAAGTCTCACTCACTTTCGAGGAGTGACCGATGTCGCTTCGAACTGACGAAAGGAAGAGAAGGCTCATCGATCAGAAAATACGCGCACGCCCGTGCCGTCTTTTATGCTAATACCTATAAAGTCTGGCACAATCGTCGCTGTTATTATCGAGCCTACTACGACCGATCGTAAATCTCGCGCGCGACGGTCGGACATTTCAAAAGTGGCTCCTTCCGAGATTCACACACTCGCTCGTACCCGAGAGAAGTTGAGATACACACTCTCGAGGAGAGTCGTCTCGCCATCTGCGGCAAGGCCGTCTATCCATGAGGTATTGGGCCTTGTAATAAGCCCTTCTTTCGTCGTCGTCACGTGGAAAAAAATCCGGAAAATATGACAGATTTTCGTAATTTAGCCTTTGATTCCTTCATACGTAAATATTCAAAGAAGAGAAACCTGATTTGTTTTCAACAAATATTTTTTTCATGCATAATTAATTACTTCTGAAAAGGTATTATAAGTGTAAATTAATTAATTATCTGAAGGGGAAAAAATCCAGAAAATATGACAAATAACTTACCCTTCGATTCCTTGACACACAAATATTAATAAAAAAAACCTGATTTTTTTAACGAAATATTTTTTCATGCATAATTAATTACTTCTGAAAATATAAATTAGTTAATTATCTGAAGGGAGAATTCGAGAAAAAAAAATATATATATATAATTCGATGATAATACTTTATGAAACCCAGAGTGTCATGCCAATTTTTCTGTCATATCGTACCATAGACACCTCACATAAATCAATGAAAAAATAAACGAGTACAAGAGGACAGAAAATATTGAAATGAACGAACGCTTCTTGTTAAGGCCTTTTATTAATCTTTTTATATAGTTTTTGGTCAATTTACAACTGTTCGTAGATAAAATGATAACATAACATAGGCAACGTTGCGTATAATAATCATAGCAATTAATCTTTATTATCGTCTTGATGATAATATAATAATCTCACAATAATATAATATAATAGAGAGAATAATCATCATTATCATCATAGCAATAGCTGTAATAATAATATTAATATTGATAAATCGTCGATATTGCTTAATCATTAACGCACGGCCGTGTGACATCGTTGGGGTTACAAAAGCTTAGGCCTAAGAATTAGCCGCCCGGCGTCTAAAATTAACGCGCAAACTGTAACGGGAGAACTAATATTTCTCTTATCTCTCGTTACACCAAATCGTTCTGGTGTATACGTTGTTACAACGCTATGACTGTTAAGAAAAGCGAAACTGAGCGCAATATTTTCCCAGAAAAACACAGAGATCGTTTTGCACAATCGTGTTGTGAATTATCAAATACGGACACGCGAGACTTTACTGCATCGCCATCATGCAATTTTTCAATATATGGATACATTTACGTATTGCCTCGTGAATACACTTATTCTGTATCAGGAAAGTATGTGAATGAACGATATCGATTAAAATAACGTCTCGATGATATTTTGCAGAAAAATTATTTTCAAGATACATAGATATAATGCTACGGCTTCTGTTGAATCCTGTATATTCTGGAGAACCAAATTCTCTGGTTATATCATGCAATCATGCGATATATAAATCTCTCGAGTGATTTATCTCTGATTTTCGCTGAGAATGATGTTTGGTGATTTAGTATCTCGATATACTTAACCCTTCAATGAGACGAGTAAAGCCTAAAATATTATCACGTAATATCGATTATTCGCGCGGTCACGATTTTCAAAGTTTACGTGATAATTTTTCAAACATTTCTCATACACTAATGCTAGTGCTCTCCATAAAACTATGATGAGAAGTCCAAATATAAAAATACGTATTTTATCGTGAAGACTATAATGAGACATGTAACAAATAACCCGTGTTAATCGCGACGATGATTATCGAAGGGTTAAGTCAACTTATAGCTTAACTTAGTAGAATATACTTTACAGGATAAAAACGAAGATATGCTTTTTATAACAACGTACTCGTTATATATTTACAGAAGATGTAAAAACGCCATATGTTTGCGCAGCACCGAACTTCAGTAGCAAATCCGTCGTGTTTTCTCGACCATCTGTTTTGTGTGCATTTATTTAAACGTCATTTCGAAGTGAAATAAATGATACACACCATGGCCGTCTAGACTAGAGATCAATTTGATTGCAATAGAAGATTTTTCGCCGAAACTGCTCGCGAATATATTTACAGGCAATGTTGTATTATAATTATATAACTGTGTGTGTGTGTGTGTGTGTATATATTGTATGTACGTGTGTAGAAAACACGACGACATTATACGCGCAAGACGTAGGAAATCGTATCGAATTCCGAATAAGGCAAGGCGACTCGAGTCCATCGTGACTAATCTTCATATTCATTACGGAAGATTTTCGCCACGATTTTCGCGCATTTCCTACCTCGATCGACGTATAACACGTGTACAACGTTAGCGAATTAAAGAAGACTTTCCTGAAATGAACGGAGGAGGATCATATCGGCAACATATATATTCGTCGTCCGAATAATAAAACGCTCCTACTCGCACATTGACCGTTTATCTATCTAAAACCACGGTACTAAAAAATATCCCTCTTTCACATGCTAATCATCTTGTCGCACAAAATAAATCCTTTTCTCTCCGCCTTAATCCGTTACTAAGACACTTGGTACAAAATTTGGCGCTACGCTCGCGTTTGGTATAAAAAACAGTTAAACACTGGAATGGCATTTCTTTTCGACGACACACACATCGTTATCTACAATGCAGTCTGTTTTCTTATCGGGAGTTTTCAGGGGAAACGGGCAAGGGAAAAAAAAGGGGAAAAATGGGGTCGTTTGATTTTATATCCGATGGATCCGAGCGTGGGAGAGTCTCTCTCACTTTTTTTTTTTTTACTCGATCCTCGATTCTTTCTTTCTCCTGTACCTTTCTCGTTCTTTTTCTTTCATTCTCTTTCCTCTCCTTCGTGGCGAGGCCGTAACGTATAAATAAATTATCTTTGATAAATATAATCGATAAACTATATAATTAAATAAAAATGATTAGGCGTTACCGATCGGCAACGGTGAAAACGATTGATCGTGCAATCGCGACGGTCTCTCGACAATCTTCCACGATACGTGATCTTGAAAATTGGCATCATTCATTGATATTAAGTATCTTAAAGTACCACGCTCGTCAAATCACATGAATCAAAAAATTAAAAAAGTTTTAAATATAATATTTATATATTTAATTAAATTTAAAGAAACTTTATATACTCATACACACATTATATATGTGTATATATATACATATATTTATATATAATAAATATATACCTATTTATTACATATATACATATATGTGTATATAAGAAGTATATATATAATAAATATATATATATATATATATATTATATATATGTATAAAGAAATTTTTAATTTTTGCAAAAATTATCATAATAAAAATATTTTTTTGCAGTTTAAAAAAAATGTGCATGATTTAAAGATTACTATTTCAAACTCAGCAATTGACGAACATATAAGATGCAATCGTAAATCGACTACCATTAATGCAAGACTCGCCGCATTTAATTGCACACTTTTTCCGTATTAATCAATTGAAAACTTGTCCACGGAACGAGTTTCCTTTCTCTCTCTCTCTCTCTCTCTCTCTCTCTCTCTCTATTTTGCCGTCTATCGTAAACGTCATCTCGTTCTTCAGCACCATCTAAGCACCACCCTGATACGTGACTACTAAGAGCTACTAACTGATTGACCCCGTACCGTTAAGTTACTCTCTAGTCGGACGTCTTCGATCTACAATGATGGTTGTTTGAAGGCGTAGGCGAAGAGCAGAAATAGAAAGCAATAGTCCAAGCGTCAAATTGTTTGCTGTGATGATAATGCACACCGCAATAAAATAAACACTTCAAGTACAAGAATTTTTTCAAGTGTAGAGTCCAGAATTTAAAAAAATTTAGATTTTGAATTCTTTGTTTTTATAATTATGAATTTTTCTTTAAAGTTTTTGAAGTTTTAAATATTAAAACTTGTAAATGTGTTTTTTAATCTCAAAATGCATCTGAAGTTAGTTGACTTTGATTTTAAATCTTGAGATAAAAAAATATCAAGCACTTTGAAACTTCAAGCTTACATAATTAAAAAAATTACAAAATTGTAATTTTGTGAATTTCTGAAATATTTAGTAGGGAGCGATCTCTTAAAGAGCATCGTCTTTCGATGTTAAAAAAATATCTAAAATAGTCTAAAAAAATTTAAATAAATTAGACCAATCCACTATTTACGATACTTTTCACTCGCTAAAAGTAAAAATTTGATATCACAAATAATCTTTTTAGTATAGAGTAATTCAATCTTATCATGGACTCTCTCGATTTTTCTTTTCCTGCACTTCTAAAAATTGGTAAACTTTTCAAACTACAGATCTCTGAATCTCCCTTTACGTACTATCTTTCCGAGTCAATTATAAAACACATTTTTAAAAGTCAACTATAAAATATATATATACCCTCCGTTATTAAGACGTCCGACTCATCTATTAAATCGAATGAAGAATCAAGCGCAGCAAGAGACGCGAATGGTTGCTCTCGCTAATGTCAGCGGTGAGTCGAAGAGCCTAACTTAGCCTAACGCAAGAAGGCTACCCGATATACCACTCTCAAACGCTATCCGATGCCACGGACATCGGTCTTTTATAGGATACGGTACGAGGCACCGGTATCCTCGAACAACCTTCCTGAGGTTTGGGATCTTTTCGGGGAGAAACCGATACCTGAACATCCTGAGGCACAGTCATCGTCCCGTTACTGTCCACCCACATTTTGGCGAAGTCCATATTCGCGGCACGGTCGGTCGAGGTAGCCTGATAATCCCTCAGAAGGCCCTGCAGCTTCTGCACCATCTGCCGCTCGTCCTTCAAGTCGCCCAGTTTCTGCAGTATCTGATCGAGCAACGGATTCGTCACCTTCGTAGGCGACGACTGGAGAGACGCGGTTCCCGTAGCGGACGCTCTGATCCTCCTGCCGTTCCTATCGTACTGAACTCCGTTCAGGCTCGGCCGCGACTGCAGACTCTGCCTGCCCGGGCTCTTCCGCGAGAAACTCGGCGTCGTGGCGCACGTGGCCGGCGTCGAGCTCGGATCCAAGAAGGTGTCCGTCTGAATGCTGGCTCGCCGCCTGGTCTGACGGCCGTTCCACGTGGCGCTACCGCCGAAGGACGTCGTCTTCGTGAAACTGGGAATCGGTATCGGTGACAGCGCTTTGCTGAGACTTCCGCTCGGCGTTGACTTGCGACCGTTCCGTTACCCCGGTTGCGCATCGAGCCGCCTCGGTTCAGCGGACTACCCTCCGGGCTGGAATTGCTGTCCTTGGGCGTCTTGCTCCGGACGAGGTCTTGGATAGGTTGCTGTTCTCTCGCGCGACGGAACCGGCTCGTGGGGTCCTGTCGTCCGTCGACGAGGACGCCGTGCTCCTGGACGGGGACGAGACTCGTAAAGGACTCGCCAGTCTGTCCTTTCGAATCACCTTGCGCAGCCCGGTCTCGATGCTGTCGGTCTCCACGCCAGATCTTTCCTCAGGCTCAGTTTTTGGCGGTTGCTCTGAAACAGGAAGCGGGAAGTCGTGCGTTTCTGAGACGCTCAAATGTGTCATTAATTGATTGTTTGTTTCGATATGACATGTTTTCTCTTAGATATTATAAAGATAGAGAAGTACATAAAATTTGTTATTGGCGTTATTCTTAATTTATTCTCACGTAAAATTAGTCCAAACTTTTATGACAGATCAATATTTTGTATTTATTTTTTATATTGCGTCTATTTCAATTAATGAACTTGGCGAAACTAACTAATTAATAACGCCTTATTCCAAACATTAGAAATCATGAAATTATATAAGTAAATTATTAGATGTAATTATCATGTGGTTATCTTGTCGTTAACATTGTCATTATAATGACATTTTCTATGACGAACGCACGCGCACAACGATCGAAACCTAAATCCCGTTCTTTCTTCATTATCGCGAGGTGTCAACTTTCGCGAACATATGTGATTTAGGATCCGAAAAAAATGTCGACGATCACCGAATCGGTCGGTGTCATGCTTAGCATTTTTAGCGTAGGCGAGGTGAAGGAACGGGCCCTGACACAATTGGGACCGAATGCGGTCTGTCCTGTCACTTTACATCGGCGAAAACAACACTCCCGCGAAAGGTCGAAGGCAACTATCTATTCCAAAGACAAATGGATCTCTTCATCGGAACTGCCGCGCACAACTTGTAACCATAAATCTTCTGCTACTTTATATAACACGAAAACCATGAATTTTTCTACATAATTTTATATAATCAGTTACGTAAACCTTATTACCATCGTCTCCGCATATATCATTTCATTTCACAATTTATGTTCTATTACATATAGTAATTATTGATCGTATATTTATATTTATTATACAATTATTAATATTATTATTGATCTGCAATTAAAAAATATTATCCGGATAATTACATATAAGATTTTTATTATAAATTTTATAAAAAGATGGCAATACATTTAAAAGAGAAATAGCGATAAACTTAATAAAAATTTCTCAATAAAATGGAATACAAATAATTAATATTACATAAGCAATGCGTTACATTTAATTATAATTATTGAAAATTATACATTTATCTGCGATAATTTGATGGTTTTATATTCAGTTTTCGAGAAACTTCATTTTTTTCTTCGCTTTAAAATTTATGTCTTGATATATTATGCGCGTACTATGTAATTAAAGTATCGACTTTCGTATATTTTTTCTGATTAACTGATACCATCAAAACGTTGCATATCGTTTCATATTTCTTTTTCGCGTATTGCGAACACCCACGTATATATAATACCACAGAGAGAGAAGCCATTCTTCGGCAAATAAGAGAAATTAGCATATATAAGATAGGCAATAAGCCAGTGCAGAATGCGGAAGAACGGTTGCGTTATTAAATATAACGAGACTGCAAATTTTTTCGAATTTTTAAAAAAAATAATTCCTCGCAAAGGCTCATCGATCACATTTTTAACCTCAACCCGGTCAATTTAAAAAGTCGATAATTCTCATAATAAGTGACGTTTTTTTCAAACATGTCCGCATCGCAAAAAACGTCGCTAATATTAAAGTGCGAGAGAATAAATATAGATCCGAAAGTCGCAGAAAATCCGGAATCGAACCCGAGATCTCGTCCTTAACGGCTACTGCTTAAACTTCAATCTGAGATCCTCCTTGGATTCTATACTTTTCTCAAATAATTATATTAAATGTTGCAAATAAACGCCTTTAAGCCAGCGTGTATAAATTAGAGTTTAACTAGGCTCTCTCATATATAAATATAAATTTAACATATATAAGATAGGCAATAAGAGCCAAATCGCGGATGAAGTGCGAATTCTAAACGAAACTAAATTTTTCCTTAGAAATAAATACCTGTGCACAAGGCACCAAATTTCACTTGGACACTATAAGATATAATTTGGAATAATCTTTACAAGATGATTAATTCCATGTATCCCCTATTCCCCCTAAAGAAATAAAGTGCGAGAAAAAATAGCGATCCGAAAGTCGCAGAATCGGGAATCGAACCCGAGACCTTTCGCTTGCCGGGCGACTGCTCTTCCAACTGAGCTATTCAGATCCTTTCGATTCTATACTTTTCTCTGTTATATATATTAATGTTGGTAAATAAACGCCTTTAAGCCAGCGAATAGTAAATTAAATTAAGAGCTGTAATATAAATTAAATTTAACATATATAAGATAGGCAATAAGAGCCAAATCGCGGATGACAGTGCGTTATTCTAAACGAAACTAAATTTTTCGTTAGAAATAAATACCTGTGCACAAGGCACCAAATTTTTACTTGGACACGGCCAAGATATAAAATTGGAATAATCTCTACAAGAGATTTTTAATTCCATGTATCCCCTATTCCCCCTAAAGAAATAAATGCGAGAGAAAAATATAGATCCGAAAGTCGCAGAATCGGGAATCGAACCCGAGACCTTTCGCTTGCCGGGCGACTGCTCTTCCAACTGAGCTATTCAGATCCTTTCGATTCTATACTTTTCTCTGTTATATATATTAATGTTGGTAAATAAACGCCTTTAAGCCAGCGTGTATAAATTAAGAGTTTAACTAGGCTCTGTAATATATAAATATAAATTTAACATATATAAGATAGGCAATAAGAGCCAAATCGCGGATGACAGTGCGTTATTCTAAACGAAACTAAATTTTTTCGTTAGAATTAAATACCTGTGCACAAGGCACCAAATTTTTACTTGGACACGGCCAAGATATAAAATTGGAATAATCTCTACAAGAGATTTTTAATTCCATGTATCCCCTATTCCCCCTAAAGAAATAAAGTGCGAGAGAAAAATATAGATCCGAAAGTCGCAGAATCGGGAATCGAACCCGAGACCTTTCGCTTGCCGGGCGACTGCTCTTCCAACTGAGCTATTCAGATCCTTTCGATTCTATACTTTTCTCTGTTATATATATTAATGTTGGTAAATAAACGCCTTTAAGCCAGCGTGTATAAATTAAGAGTTTAACTAGGCTCTGTAATATATAAATATAAATTTAACATATATAAGATAGGCAATAAGAGCCAAATCGCGGATGACAGTGCGTTATTCTAAACGAAACTAAATTTTTTCGTTAGAAATAAATACCTGTGCACAAGGCACCAAATTTTTACTTGGACACGGCCAAGATATAAAATTGGAATAATCTCTACAAGAGATTTTTAATTCCATGTATCCCCTATTCCCCTAAAGAAATAAAGTGCGAGAGAAAAATATAGATCCGAAAGTCGCAGAATCGGGAATCGAACCCGAGACCTTTCGCTTGCCGGGCGACTGCTCTTCCAACTGAGCTATTCAGATCCTTTCGATTCTATACTTTTCTCTGTTATATATATTAATGTTGGTAAATAAACGCCTTTAAGCCAGCGTGTATAAATTAAGAGTTTAACTAGGCTCTGTAATATATAAATATAAATTTAACATATATAAGATAGGCAATAAGAGCCAAATCGCGGATGACAGTGCGTTATTCTAAACGAAACTAAATTTTTTCGTTAGAATTAAATACCTGTGCACAAGGCACCAAATTTTTACTTGGACACGGCCAAGATATAAAATTGGAATAATCTCTACAAGAGATTTTTAATTCCATGTATCCCCTATTCCCCCTAAAGAAATAAAGTGCGAGAGAAATATAGATCCGAAAGTCGCAGAATCGGGAATCGAACCCGAGACCTTTCGCTTGCCGGGCGACTGCTCTTCCAACTGAGCTATTCAGATCCTTTCGATTCTATACTTTTCTCTGTTATATATATTAATGTTGGTAAATAAACGCCTTTAAGCCAGCGTGTATAAATTAAGAGTTTAACTAGGCTCTGTAATATATAAATATAAATTTAACATATATAAGATAGGCAATAAGAGCCAAATCGCGGATGACAGTGCGTTATTCTAAACGAAACTAAATTTTTTCGTTAGAAATAAATACCTGTGCACAAGGCACCAAATTTTTACTTGGACACGGCCAAGATATAAAATTGGAATAATCTCTACAAGAGATTTTTAATTCCATGTATCCCCTATTCCCCCTAAAGAAATAAAGTGCGAGAGAAAAATATAGATCCGAAAGTCGCAGAATCGGGAATCGAACCCGAGACCTTTCGCTTGCCGGGCGACTGCTCTTCCAACTGAGCTATTCAGATCCTTTCGATTCTATACTTTTCTCTGTTATATATATTAATGTTGGTAAATAAACGCCTTTAAGCCAGCGTGTATAAATTAAGAGTTTAACTAGGCTCTGTAATATATAAATATAAATTTAACATATATAAGATAGGCAATAAGAGCCAAATCGCGGATGACAGTGCGTTATTCTAAACGAAACTAAATTTTTTCGTTAGAATTAAATACCTGTGCACAAGGCACCAAATTTTTACTTGGACACGGCCAAGATATAAAATTGGAATAATCTCTACAAGAGATTTTTAATTCCATGTATCCCCTATTCCCCCTAAAGAAATAAAGTGCGAGAGAAAAATATAGATCCGAAAGTCGCAGAATCGGGAATCGAACCCGAGACCTTTCGCTTGCCGGGCGACTGCTCTTCCAACTGAGCTATTCAGATCCTTTCGATTCTATACTTTTCTCTGTTATATATATTAATGTTGGTAAATAAACGCCTTTAAGCCAGCGTGTATAAATTAAGAGTTTAACTAGGCTCTGTAATATATAAATATAAATTTAACATATATAAGATAGGCAATAAGAGCCAAATCGCGGATGACAGTGCGTTATTCTAAACGAAACTAAATTTTTTCGTTAGAAATAAATACCTGTGCACAAGGCACCAAATTTTTACTTGGACACGGCCAAGATATAAAATTGGAATAATCTCTACAAGAGATTTTTAATTCCATGTATCCCCTATTCCCCCTAAAGAAATAAAGTGCGAGAGAAAAATATAGATCCGAAAGTCGCAGAATCGGGAATCGAACCCGAGACCTTTCGCTTGCCGGGCGACTGCTCTTCCAACTGAGCTATTCAGATCCTTTCGATTCTATACTTTTCTCTGTTATATATATTAA